CGTGACTCCACCTCTCGCTATCGGATCTTGAGAGATGTCAACCAATGGTGTTGACATTGGTTGACCATTGGTTGACATCTCTCAAGATCCGATAGCGAGAGGTGGAGTCACGCATCGATCGATGAGTGACAGGGGGCGAGCGGGGAGCGGTAAGCGGGCGAACGGCGCGCAGCGAGCGAACGCGCGACATATGACATCGCGCCGAAAAACTTTTTCTGGTGTTAGGAGAATAATACACCATTTTGCATGTCTGCCGAGTCCGGCCTTCAGTTCCTCCGTGCACTTATTGGCTCAGACGTTTTTCTTAATTACGCGATAATAATTACGGATTTTGTAAAATGGTATATAACTTTTCTTCTCAGTTTGACCCAATCTACTATAATCTTTGGAGTGGTCCAAATCGAATCCGACACCCTGTATAAAGCTGAATTTTCACTAAGCGCGAGACACAACGCATGACGCGCTCATTGGAAACGCAGTCTAAAGCTAAATTTTAATCCGTTTTAATAAAAAGAAAAGTAGAAGAACGCTTTAAAGCATTTGCAGCATCAAGTAGACCGCAGCTAATGAAATCTATACATACTGGAGTGAGTGGTCTTATTGTTATCGATGTGACTAGAGAAAGAGAGAGAGAGAGAGAGAGAGAGATGCTGTTGAGTGAATCTCTGTCTCTTTCTCTACTATCTAATTGGTCAAGGATTTTCACCTTATATGAGTGAGACAGAAAATCAACTATTCTTGATCTATTTTCTCTTTTCCCCATTGAATCGACTAATCGAAAATTGTCATGTCAAATCGGCCAATCGACGACACGGGCGATCGGACGCCGATTGGTCGGGCGTGCGCGTCCGCGGTAACGGCCAATCGCACGAGCGCCTCGTGGGCCGTGCGGCGAGCGAGATCACGTGCCAGCTGGGGTGTGCGATAACACTCAATGGACGGTCGCTCTCGGCCAATCGCAGGCGCGCTGTGCGCGAGTGACCCGACAACGTCGCCCGTTGGGTTGCGTACGCTGCACCGCGCTCGACAGTCGTCGCTCGGCTGTTCTTTCCGTGGCTCGGTGAGAGGCTCGGTAGTAGTGGTTCGCGGCTGACAGTGTGGGTCGGACTGCCGTGCGATTGTATCCACGAGGGGACCGCGAGAGAACGGACGTTCAGGCGCGCCCGCGGATAAATAGGTGGCACGATGACACATTCGGTAACGTCGACAGCGAGCGTTCCTGGGACAAGTGCGGCGATCGCGACCGAGACGATAATAACGACGGCGTTACAGCAGCGTGCTCGTTTACCACGATAGTGCGTCGCTGCGAGCGAGGAAGGGAGAAAGACAGAGAGAGTGAGAGAGCGCCGAGTTCTCGTTCTCGATGCGGATGCGTCGCGTCGTCGCGCTTTAAACGAGATACACACACACGCCCGAGTTCCGGGAAGCGCGCGAGAAGAGGAATATCTCGCTTCCGCCGCGAGCGATACACGTGAGGCGAGAAAAGGAGAAGGAAGGCGACTGTCGCGGGAATACGGGCGAATCCGTGTTGATCGCACGTACGTTGGGAAAGCGAGAGAAAGAGGGGAAGAAGAAGAAAAAAAGGAACAGGGTTACGAGGCAGGCGGGCGCCATTCGGAAGTAACAGTGTCAAAGCGCTCGGCGCGCTCGCGATTTCTTTTCGCGGTCGCGGCGAGGAGGACCGTCGGTGCGCGCGCGCGCGCGCGGCATCTGGGACGTGCGATGGGACGTGCGAGCGCGCGTGCCATCGTCAACGTGCGTCCAAGTGCGTGAAGTGGCCTGGCAGTGCAGAAGTGCGAACCGAGCCAGACGGGGCCCCCGTGTCGCTTGGCGCGAGCGAGTCCGGGCACTCGCGCCGTCTCCGTCCAACCAGTCGGGCCCGCGGCGCGCCTCTCTCGCTCCCGCCTTCGTGACGCGAGCGCGACCGACCGACCGACCGCCCGTTCCGCCTGTTCGCCAGCGGAGTTTTCGCCGCGCGGCGCGCGCGACACGCGCGCACATTCCGCGTATACGCGCGGCCGAGGGACATCGTACGCGAGGAACGACGGACCGGCCCGCGTGCCGGAGCGAATCGAGAGGCGGGGGGGGGAGGGGGGGACAAGAAAAAGGGGAATTCCCGGATAATGAAAGAGCCCCGCGTGCACCGCGGACCGAGGTGAATTTCGTCGGTCGCCAAATTTTTCCGCGTCTTGTATCTCCGCGGGGAAGACAGAAGTGGAGAAGGTGGCGGAACGGAAGGAGAGGAGGAGAAGAGACAGCGGCGTGAGAAAGAAAGAGAGAGGGAGAGAGAGAGAGAGAGAAAAAGACAGATTAGGTTAGGCTGAACTCACGTCCCCCCTCCCTCCCTCCCTCCCATTCCTCCGCTGCGGCACCACGGGCGCTCCATCTCGCTTCGATGTGCACGCCCGTTTCCATCTGATTTGTGCACGCTCGAGGGACGAGGACGGCATGACGAGGGAAGAGACGAGACCGAGGAAGGAGCGCGAGGGTAGCGCGCGACCGGCGACGGCGGATCCACGGGGGAGAAACGGCGGAGAGACACAAATGCCGATCGCCGATGGAATTTCGGCCGCTGAATCGACGGCGTCGACCACCCACCACGCACCCCTCGCCGCCGGCATGCTACGTTTCGTCGATAGACTTTCAGGTTAGCGCGAGGCTTACGCGATTCGTACACATCTGCGTGCATCCGCGAGCGAGAGCGCGCGCGCGCGCGAGCGAGCGATCTCGCTCGCTCGCGTACTCGCGCACCGTGAATTTAGTCGGCGCGAAGTCGTGTCGCGCGAGCAGACAGTTCGCACGAACGTCGTTTCCGACTCTGGGGAGACCTCCCCCCCCCGCCAGACGAAACGGTCCTTCCTCTCCGCTTCCACCGACGGCGGTGTCGCGTCCGAGGAATTTCCCTGGAATTTTTTATTCCAGAATCTCCGCTTCTTCGAAATCGCGACACGCGCGCGCGCGCGCGCGGCCCTTCGAGCCTGATGTACTTGATGTGCTTTCTGCATCCGGAAACAGTCTGTACGGGCAAATCGGGGGGGAGAGGGGGAATTTGTCGACAACGTGCGACTGTACGGCGTACAGTTCGTCAGCTCGCGGAAATTTTGTTAAGCGTATTTATCGAGCACGAAGTAGAGTGTTTCTAGACGCAGAGAGCGCGCTGTAGATTAGGCTTAATCGTTGCGAGAGACACTCGACTCGAAGGAAAGTGTCCTATTGAGGCGAGTAGGCTTCTGGTTGACGCGGCGGAAATTTGTCGTTAATTTTTGCAGCTAGAAAAGTGATCGTAGCCTGCAGAACTTTTATAGCGGCAAATTCCGGCAATGTCCTCCGCAACGTTGAAGTTTCACGACCGAATATTAGTCGCCACATCGGACAAGAATGAACGTCGATAGCTAGAACGATCTTTGCGAGAGATATAATTGTTGCGTGTACCGCAAACTTTGCGATGGACGAGCGCCGCGGAAAGACTTTCCTCCTGACGTTCACCGGCAATTGGAATATAAATTCTGTCTGTTGTGTGATTTTGATCAAGTACAAAACACATTCGCGGCATTGGCTATTCACTTATCTCGGTTATTTTTTCGTAGACAATTGTTGCTGTCGCTGTGGGATTTTTTTTTAGGTGGTGGGTCTTTGCGCGCAATCTCGAGGCCTCGTACAGTCGGAAAGGTTGTCCGACGTTTTACGATAAATTTCGGAAATACAGTCCATCGCGCGAGAAATTGTAGCTTTTTTTCCTCGCGGATCTGCGCATCGACGCACTATTAGAGCAAAGGAATTACGTGTACGAATATCTACGCTGAGGAAAAATTTCCATCGGATAAACCAATTGAGTAGCGTTTCCGATGGTTAATCTTTCCGATTCAATTATGGATACATCCGATGAAATTTATCCGGTGAAATACAGTCACCCCGAGGAAATTTGAGCGAAAAACCGATCGCATTTTTCATCGGAAATATCCGTCTGTTATTATGCAATTGGATTATGTTTAATCGGACATTTTTCTCAGTGTATGCAATGATACACTGGAAAAAAAATCTGGTAGATTCAACCACTCGTCTGTTAGAAAATGGACGAATCAGAATTCCTTTAGGATTTACCATGAAAGATATTTCATAACCAGAAGTTTGCTAAGACTTGACCACAAATCTGGTAAATCCTAAAGGGAATTCTGATTCGTCCGTTTTCTAACAGACGACTGGTTGAATCTACCAGATTTTTTTTTCAGTGTACCCACGAATATTCCGAAAACTTGTTGTAAAACGTCGGACAATCTTTACTGGCCACGACCGTACGTGCTTCAGAAAACCGAGTACAGCGCGGTGCGTTGATTCGCTTCAGGTTGTCAGAAAGGATCTGTTTAAATAATCAAGTAATTGCTGTAGAAAAATTGCCAAACGATGCTGACTGGCAAATTCTAATTAAAGGCATTTATTGCGGAAAAACTACCTCAGCCGGGGTTTGAATCCGAACTTCCCTACACTCTAGGCGGGCGTCTCGAGCAATTTTCGTCCATCCCTCGTTATTACCCGAACCAAATTAATGCACCGTGGTGCAATTAGTCAGCGATCGCATGATACGTGATATTACGTCACATGTCGCAAAAGTAGGGAGAAAAGCGTCTCGAGATCGCGCTTTTGTATCTTTATCGTTTAAACAAAAAAGGGACGTCAGCGTCGTCAAGTTCGGGGGTTGCTTGATAGGAAGAATAAAGCGTAATTATAATCTCCGAAAGAGAGTATTGGTACGCGAGAGCCGCGATCTACGCCGCGCGCGCGGCGTTAAATGTAAATGTACGTAGCGAGCGGAGTAGACAGAATAAAAAAGACGGGACCGTAGACGACGACGCTGTAGAGTTTGTGCGAGACACAGCGTTCCCATACGTCTAGCGATCTTTTTTTTCCCTTCTTCTTCTCGTCTACCTTCTTTACTCCTCGGATATTCACGGTATAAGGCGCCAGCCGTCGCGTTGCAGCTTTTTATATATGTAAATGGCCCCGATTCGGGGGTATAAAAGAGTGCGATGATGACCGATGAATCGTATCCCGAATACCCGAGGTGTAGCGAGAGTTGGGAAAAAAATTATATCGCGCGGATCCTGCGACTTTTGATTAAATATGCACAATTAACGCGTGGGGGGATTGTTTCGAAATTTGCAGTTTGATCCGCAGGGAATAATTCCGACAGCATACGAGTGGGTTTGAATTATAAAATCAATTCTCTTCTCTGAGAAAACTGTGTTTTCGAAAAAAACGATTTTTCAAGTGCACACGCATTCCGAAGATTACGTAAATGTAGAGAATTTGGGTAAAAGATAGTTTTTTTTTTATTTCTGAGTAATTGAAGGGGATTTAGTCATCGGAGATTGTCGGCCATAAGGTGTTTGTAATATAAGAAATAATGTGCGGAAGAACATAACTTTCGTGTAAAATAGAATGGTTTGCAATTTTTAATTTGACAACGTTGTTGAAAAGCAATCACAATTCTTATCTTAGATCACGCCACACGCTTGAAAAGACGAAAGGTGTGATGGTAAATTATAATTGAATAAAGGCATATATTTGATTTGATGGGATTTTCGGTGACGTGGTAGATTTTCGATCATTCTCGAGAAAACTACACTGAGAAAAATGTCCGATTAAATATAATCGGATAATCCAGTTACGCAATAACAAACGGATGTATCCGATGAAAAGTGTGATCGGTTTTTCAATCAAATTTCATCGGATGTATCCGTAATTTAATTAACCATCGGAAATACTACTTAATTGATTTGTCCGATGAAAATTTTTCTCAGTGTACGAAACCTACACTGAGATAAATGTCCGATTAAATGTAATCGGATAATCCAATTAAATTGTATATCCGATGAAAAATATGATCGGTTTTACGGTCAAATTGCATCGGATGTATCCGTAATTTAGTCGGAAAAATTAACCATCGGAAACACTATTTAATTGGTTTATCCGATGGAACTTTTTCTCAGTATCTCTACACTGAGAAAAATTTTCATCGGATAAACCAATTAAATAGTATGTCCGATGGTTAATTTTTCCGATTACGTTTTCCGATTAAATTATGGATATATCCGATGAAATGCAATTATCGATGAAATTTGATTGAAAAACCGATCAAATTTTTCATCGGATATACAATTTAATCGGACATATCCGTTTGTTATCATGTAATTGGATTATCCGATTATATTTAATCGGACATTTTTCTCAATATATGAAATACTCGCAATGTGCACACTGAGAAAAATTTCCGTCGGATAAACCAATTAAATAGTGTTTCCGGATGGTTAATTTTTCCGATTACATTTTTCGATTAAATTATGCATACATCCGATGGAATTTGATCGAAAAACCGATCGTAATTGTCATCGGGTATACAATTTAATTGGATATATCCGTTTGTTATTATGTAATTGGATTATCCAAATATATTTAATCGGACATTTTCCTCAGCGCAGCTTTCTGCATGTATGAGAGAGAAAGGGACGATCGCCTTCGTAGATACGATATTCGCGTGTTATTAGTTTCGATTTTTGCCAAGGCCTGTCTCGAGCCAAATAATTCATTAACTGAGAACGAAGCTAAGTTTTCCCCCTACACACAGTCTAATACAAAACTCCAATAGTCAGTAAATAATTTAACGCTAAATTAAAACTAACGCACATCCCGGGAGGCGTAAAGACCGACGGTTAGTGTAAAACTGCTATTTAAAACGTTAAGAGAACATATATTCTTTAGTACTATTGATCCTTTATAGCATATTCTAACGACAAGATTAGCACGACGGTAGGAACCATAGTATAACTAGTAGGTCCATTCTCTGCCGACCCCTTTAATCTTTAATGTCCCGATCACGTGGTATTCCGCCATACACCCGGGCAGGATTCAGCGACGCGCGTGTGTGTGTGTACGTACTCGTCAAAGCCACACTAAAACTTTTCTCTCATTGGTCTGCCCAGAGCAATGTCGGGCGCGCAGGAGGGATCGGCGCAAAACGAAAGAAATGAGTGGACACTAACTAGTTATACTACGGTAGGAACGGGAGAAACGTAATTATTTCACTCTAGTACGTGCGAACGATAGTTTGAAATTTTCGCCTGGAGCTATCCCCGATAGCATGTAGCACATGAATTATTGCATGCATGTTTAACGCATGGCTTTAACTTGTATCGAAATATTACGCGACGAATTACACAAAAGAAACTTGTTAACCGATTATTCAAGCCCGCGCGCGTTTCAGACTGTAATAAGTAGAACAGAAGAGAACGTGTTTCCGATTCTAATAAGAAGAATATATATAAGAGAGAACGTGTCTGTTTATGAAGCCGGCACAAGATCAAAACGAGAATCAAGATATAAAGATGTCGTTGAAAAGAAAATGATTACGGCGAGCGGTCAATTTTTGTACAAAGTGAATCGCGAGCTCAACAATTTCTTAATTGAGCTATTTCGGGCGGAGATACATTTTACTTTTATTGCAATTGAAATCGATTGTTACTTTTGAACGCCTGTAATAGATTTGTGGCTTCTATATTTTTGTGTTTAGTAAATTTTAACGTGATACTCGAAATATTTCCAGAAATATTGTACGAAATAATTTGATACCGTTTTACTACTAAATCCATCGTT